TGAAATTACTTTTGAATTTCATTTGACTTTTTTTATAACCTTGACAGTATCTAATATCATAATAAGCTTATACTTCTTAACAGTTTGTACCGTCTAGGCCCTTACGCTCTGCTGAAGACCTATGTTTATCCTCTGCTCATACTCCCACCTCTGATGCTCGCCTTCAAGACTTCTCTCAGGCTGCACCATTCCTTTCGAACTCCCTGCCCATCTCTGTTAAACTTTAACCGCATCTCCAGTTCTTCAAACAATCATTAAAAACTCAATTATTCATAATAGCTTATCAATTAAACTGTCAACAACTTCCATCCCTGCACCCTGATTCCTCACCTGCAACTGTCAAGTGAAAAAATAAAACCACACTAAGCTCTTATTCTAGCAACCAACTTTTCTGCCCTACACTTACCTTTTGTGTCACTTTACCCCACTCACTCTAGCATGTAAGCTTATTGAGCAGGGCCCTCAATCCCTCTGCTCCTGTATGTTCAACTTGTCTACTCAACTACATGTCTGTTATTCCACCAATTGTATAGCACTGCAAAATTTGTTGGCACTATATAAATAACAATAATAATAATAATAATAATAATAGTTAACAGGAAATATATGCAAAAGTAACATTAGAGCATACATAGATATTCTATGTGGTGTAATTGTATTTCATGATAAATCAGTGAAATACCATTTGTCCTCAATAGTGACAAAGTATTTAAGATTAAACCATAACTGCAACAAAAATTGCTTCTTGTAGCAAACAAGTTAACATATTTTAGCAAAACACATCTAAAAGTGATAGAGTGCTATTTAAATAAACAAGATTGGTTATGGTATAATTAGATACAAAGGATAGGGTAATTATCCTGAGAGGCAATACCTGTTGTGAGCTGATATTAACCATTACTCCTACATCATCTTTCATTTTTTGTGAGCTGATATTAACCATTACTCCTGCATCATCTTTCATTATCTTATCATGTTAACACATTTACATACTACAAGGAAACAGTATCCAACAGACATTCACCATATCTGAGATAAACTGATGCAGGTCATATTTTGTACCCTAGCACTGAGTGGTGTCAGAATAAGGATCACAAGTGATGCATTTGCCAGCGAAGTGATGTAGAAGCTCTACATTCCATGCTTTAGACCCTTGCCCTATTATGATCACATTTTCTCTAAGTGACTGCTATAACAATGTAGTTTCCTATAGATATAGCCGGTCAGCTAGGGCACAGAGATCTGTGCTATTGGAAGTGAATTCAAATGAGAACAGCTGTCAATCATATATTCACCTATTGACCTATCACTAACTATTAGTCTTACCTTTTCCTTCAATATTTTGAAGTTCTCATTGATAGTTACCACACGGAATTGCACTAAAGAAACCACAAAAATAGATTAAGAGCAGACTTTAGAACTGATATAACTAAACATGTGAATAATAAACTGTTAGCGTGATAGAAAGGAATGATATATAGAAATATAAGCAAAGAAAATCTAAAATTTTTAAATATTAAAACAATCATTTATATGATGATAAACTCAGGTATTGATAATAAAAATGTACCAATGTAATCAATAACACCTTTATCGAATGGATGTAAACCTATCCTGTGATAAATACATGCCATTTGGTGTAAGTCTGATGGCAGTAGCAGAGAAATAAAGACTTGGATTTTCTACTAAAAATATAGTAAGTATTTAAAAAAGAACACGCAGTGTAAAGTTCGTATCGATTTGTATCAGGATCAGACGTACTGGTAGAAAGTATTTATGACAGGATTGGTTTACAGCCATTCAATTAGGGCAGTGATTCCCAACCCAGTCCCCAAGTACCCCTTAACAGTTGAGGATTTAGGAACTACCCAGTTGTGTTTAAGGTGTTTTTAGTAAAAGAAAAAAAAATCACTTTAGACATATTAGAGTAATCCCTAAATCCTGGACTGGTAGAGGGTAATCCCTAAATCCTGGTCGGGTAGTGAGTAGTCCATAAATCCTGAATTGGTAGAGGGCAGTCCCTAAATCCTAGACTGGTAGAGGGTTGTCCAAAAATCCTGGACTGGTAGAGCTTGATCCCAAAATCCTGGACTGGAAGGGGGTAATCTCTAAATCCTGCACTGGTAGGGGTCAGTCCCAAAATCCTGGACTGGTAGGGGTTAGTCCCAAAATCCTGCACTGGTAGGGGGTAATCCCTAAATCCTGGACTGGTAGAGGGTTATCCCTAAATCCTGGACTGGTAGGGGGTAGTCCCTAAATTCTGCACTGATAGAGGGTTGTCCCTAAATCCTGGACTGGTAGGGGGTAATCCCTAAATCCTGGACTGGTAGGGGGTAGTCCTTAAATCCTGGACTGGTAGGGGGTAGTCCCTAAATTCTGCACTGGTAGAGGGTAGTCCCTAAATCCTGGACTGGTAGGGGGTAATCCCTAAATCCTGGACTGGTAGGGGGTAGTCCTTAAATCCTGGACTGATAGAGGGTTATCCCTAAATCCTGGACTGGTAGGGGGTAGTCCCTAAATTCTGCACTGGTAGAGGGTAGTCCCTAAATCCTGGACTGGTAGGGGGTAATCCCTAAATCCTGGACTGGTAGGGGGTAGTCCTTAAATCCTGGATTGGTAGGGGGTAGTCCCTAAATTCTGCACTGGTAGAGGGTAGTCCCTAAATCCTGGACTGGTAGGGGGTAATCCCTAAATCCTGGACTGGTAGGGGGTAGTCCTTAAATCCTGGACTGGTAGAGGGTAGTCCCTAAATCCTGGACTGGCAGGGGGTAGTCCCTAAATCCTTGACTGGTAGGGGGTAGTCCCCAAATCCTTGACTGGTAGAGGGTAGTCCCTAAATCCTGGACTTGTAGAGGGTAATCCCTAAATCCTTGACTGGTAGAATGTAATCCCTAAATCCTGGGCTGGTAGAGGGTAATCCCTAAATCATGGACTGGTAGAGGGAAGTCCCTAAATCCTGGACTGGTAGGGGGTAGTCCCTAAATCCTGGACTGGTAGAGGGTAGTCTCTAAATCCTGGACTGGCAGGGGCTAGTCCCTAAATCCTGGACTGGTAGGGGGTAGTCCCCAAATCCTTGACTGGTAGAGGGTAGTCCCTAAATCCTGGACTTGTAGAGGGTAATCCCTAAATCCTGGACTGGTAGAATGTAATCCCTAAATCCTGGGCTGGTAGAGGGTAGTCCCTAAATCCTGGACTGGGGGGTTCTTGAGGACTGGGTTGGGAAACTCTGAATTAGGGTATTATTTACATTGGCACCTTTGTATTATTAATAACTGATTGATGAAAGACATATAGGAGGTCATGTTTGACTAATTACGTGTCTAGGTTGCCTTTACTTTTTCTTGTGTATAGCTAGACATGTGTATTTGTTATTGTACTAATTCAATTTTGGAATTCGTAAGCAGCAGTATCCTAAATTTCCAAACACAAAAGTTTTCTGAATGAATTGAGCAGGAAAGTTTCGTAACCATTAGTTTTCAGAGGATAGTAAGTAAAGGAAATATATTAAGCAACTGAAAAAAAAATTCTGTTTTTTAATCTTTCGGCCAATAAGTAGATGGCTCCCTAATTAGATAGCCTAATTAGATTAAAGAGAGAAGGAAAGAGGAGAATCTGTCCTACAAAGTGTAAATAAATATATGTAGATATAGGAAAAGGCAGTTAAAAATATATACTTTATTACACAAAAAAAGGGAGAGAAGAAAACCTACATATAAAGTAAAAATCACCTAAAGAGGTGAGTACAATGATTGCCGATGCAACAATATATCAAAAGTGTATCTGAGACTCTATGATGTAACTGTTAATTTGTTACACGAGAATCAGATAGTACTTAGCAACGGTATATCAGCGGTGCATAGGAGAAATACGACAATATGATCAAAACATCAGATTAAGGACCAGACATTTTGGTAGAAAGTTTTGCCTGGATTAGAGGCTCAATCCCCTGATGAGCCTCCAATCCAGGCGAAAAGAGGCTCCTCCCCCTGATGAGCCTCTAATCCAGGTGAAACGCGCGTCGGGTCTGACACCTACCCGATTTTTTTCGGTTAATCCCTGTTCCTCAGGCATTAATCCCTTTTCTGATCATTATATCCTCTGCTTGTGTTATCATACTGCCCGTCTGGAACCTTTAGAATTCAGACGTCTGACAGCCGTCTCAGTCGAACAGGAATTCTGTTACCGATCAGGGTACTTGACTCATCACGATTAAACTTGCAGGACTCTTATACTGTTATACTGTACATACAGTCACTTTATCTATACCTTTCCTATATATCTCTTTACTATACCAGGTGCCCACGAAGGCACCATTCTACCTATTTTACTTTCTGTCTCTAGCTCCAATTGCGTTATTGCTATTGATTAGACTTATGGGGCATGGGCATTGCAATGTTTAGTTCCCGGCATTGAACGGAATTAGATGAGCTAACGGGTAGCCTATTTTGTTTGTGTATCTCCACGTATTATTAACCCAAACATTATCAGCCTGATTGGCTTGTTCATATTTTTCGTGTATTTCCACGTATTTATCTAAACATTACCAGTCTGATCGGCTTGTCCGTATTTTGAACTTTAGTTTAGATATCTTATTTTTTCGCCACATAGATTTCATGTACATCATTATTTGTTTTATGTACAGCATTATCTGTTTGAGTGAGCTTGCAGCTGAAATATCTTCTTTCTACGATTAACTCTATAACTATCAGGAAGCCCTGCCAGCTCTTACTTTAATTCTGACTACTGACAATAGGAGATTGTGACTTTTAAGCCTCTTAATTATCAGTATACTATTCTCAAAGTGTTAGTATGTGGCGGACTATGTTGAGGCAAACTGTTTAATCTGATGTTTTGATCATATTGTCGTATTTCTCCTATGCACTGCTGATATACCGTTGCTAAATACTATCTGATTCTCGTGTAACAAATTAATAGTGATGTCACGAACTGTTCGCGGCGAACTCCGGTCAGCTGACACATCCTGGCCAATCTCCAGCAGACCCTCCCTCCCAGACCCTCCCACCTCCTGGACAGCAGCCATGTTGAAGGCAGCTGTCCAGGAGGTGGGAGGGTTTGGGAGGGAGGGTCTGCTGGAGATTGTCCAGGATGTGTCAGCTGACCGGAGCTCGTCGCGAACGGTTCGTTGCGAACCGTGGCGAGCCTTTCGCGGCAAGTTTGCGAACGGTTTGCGACATCACTACAAATTAACAGTTACATCATAGAGTCTCAGATACACTTTTGATATATTGTCGCATCGGCAATCATTGTGCAAAGTACTCACCTCTTTAGGTGATTTTTACTTTATATGTGGGTTTTCTTCTCTCCCTTTTTTGTGTAATAAAGTATATATTTTTAACTGCTTTTTCCTATATCTACATATATTTATTTACACTTTGTAGGACAGATTCTCCTCTTTCCTTCTCTCTTTAGTGATTAATTTCATTAGGGTCACCCCTTGGTCTGTCCTTTTGGACTGTTTTTTGGCCAACTGTTCTTTACTTAACGCCTAATTAGATTGCCATAATTAATCACAACAAAGTAGGGACTTATCTACTAAGCAACTGAAAGAGCACATTTACGTAAGTTAACTAAAGAGGACCTTCCTTATTTTTTTTATTTTTTTTGAAGCTGTTTAGTAGATGGTTCCACTTACTTGGAACCCTGATGTAGGAGTTTAGTTAATGGATCCCCTAATTTGGTAACATGATGTTAAGTTCCCATACTTATGTAGCCAATCTAGGGCACACTTTAGAAGATGGTTCCCTTAATTTATTACCCTGATGCAGAATATCAAATTAGGGTGTTATTTAGTAACTGGCTCCCATAATGTGGTACCCTGATCTGCGATCCCACTACTTAGGAAACAAAATAAGGGTGTTGTTTTGTGGATTACTGCCCTAATTTAGTACTTGATGTGGGATTCCCCGATTTAGAATACTAAATTACAGCACTGTTTAGTAGATGACTCCCTAATTTGGTACCCTTAAGGGGCATTGCTAATTTAAAGATACCACATTAGAGTGCAATATGGTAGATAGCTAGTTTGGTACCGTATTTGGAATTCTCTAATTAAGGATAATAAATGACGGCATTGTTTAGTTCAGTGGTTCCCAAACCTGTCCTTTTTTTTTCTAAAAACACCTGAGTAATCCCTTAATCCTGGACTGGTAAGGGTGTCTTGAGGACTGCTTTGGGATCCACTGGTTTAGCTGATTTTTTTTTTAAATGGTTTTTATCTTGTTGTGCAAGACAGTAAATGTGCTGTTCACTATTGGTGTTAGCAGCACTTTTCACACCCTGCACATCCATTTCATATTCTTCACTCTATATTGTAATATACATTGATATGTTCTATATACTGACTGTGCCAGTTATAGCTCCATATCCTGCATTTTTACTATAACAACTGATATTTACAATGTAAGATTAAAACAATCAAATGGAAAAAAAATTTCTATGCTTCACCTTGACTATTCTGGCCTTCAATTTGAAATCCTCTTTAAATTCTCACTTTAGCAAATATTACTGACCCCGGTTTGGTAAATGGATTATAATAAATAAATCCTTAAAAAGAGAGCCGTACCTGTCTGTCCTGGCTTGTAAATAGGTTTATCTGTCTGAATGAAGCACGTATCACTCAATTTAAATATTGCCACACGCTTGGTGTCATTGACTTTGAGGTTCTCCCCTTCTGCATACATGTGGAAATGCCAGGAATTATAATGGTTTGATACGGAAGGAACCTATGGAGACACACAAACTCATTCTGATATTCTCCCAGCACAGAAAATACATTCACCATTTTCTCCTTTTTTGGGCAGGTGTGAAATTACAGCATGATCTTTTGTTTTTATCATATTTTATCCATTCGGGTGTGAGATGGAATCTCCATTCAGGTAAATGGTGGACCATTTAAATTCTTCATGTCACAACATCCATGAATCTAACAGGTTTTAAAGATCATTACATATAATCTCACCAAAATTCAAATGAACATTGCATTCATTACAAAATTACATTCATTACAAAATGTTACAGGAAAAGAACGATACAGATTCAGATACAGAAAGACATGTTTGAAAATGCTAAAGGGTAAAATATTTTACAGGACCATAAAATAAATCATTATTATTAGTGTACATTATTTTAATATGTTACAATGTAAATGAAGTTGGTAGGTTATAATAGTATGGGTGGCCCTTTACATTGTGCATTCATTAATTAGAAACCTGTCTAATGATCTGATTAGATAAGACTACATCATGAAAAGTAATGATAGTAGGACTTTATTTTTTATTCTTTTCATTTCTCAGATACTATATTCCAGTTTATTTATATCAGTTTTGTTAATAGAGAATGATTCAGAGATAAATTTAGCTTTTGAGGAAATAAAAGCAGAATAATATCTCATTTAATTTGGTAGATACAATCTAGGGCTATATTTTAATATATTATAATCATTTTTGGTTTTTAAGTTTTGCTGGGGCATTACAATCTTTGGACACTGTACTCACATGGAAGGTGTAACACTGGGAAAAATCATGGCCCTCAATTTTTTCATCCGCAAGCGGTTCGACCCGGTCGGTATCTACTTCATGCAATTCCAGTTTGAAGTTTACTGCCCCAGTCAGATGTTCAAAAACCACACATGCTTTATCTTCGGAAGGATATGTTAGCCGGCCTGGAACTGTTACTACATAATAACTGCAAGCAAACAAAGGGGGAACAACAATTATATATTTAATTTGTGTCAAGCTTAGGCTCCAGGATGGCCACCTGAGTTGTCAATCTAGATCTGAAGGCACTGCTAGTTGGCCTATACAGTTATTGTTTCTATACACACAGAAGCCAAGCTTCATACTGTAAAAAAATTCAGATTTCCACATGCTTTCTTGACAATAATCTGTTTTATTTTATCAAATGATTACGTTCAGAATTCTCTGCCGATGAGCTCTTTCAATTTAAGACTTTATTCTTGTCTTCATTGAGCCCACGTTTCCGTCCTTACTAAAGTTATATATTTATTTCTTATTCAGTTTTATTATTATTTTCTCTAAAATTTGCTGTTTGTCACTCTGTCCATTTATTAATATGAACACTCCGAACACTATAACCACTGCAGTGAACTGTCACATAAGTAGTTAAACCATTTTAGAACAGTTTGACCTTTTACCTGGGGTCCACCAAGCCCTGTTCACACCCTTCACGACGGCTACAGCAGAGCCAGGGCAATTCTGATTGTGCAGACCTTTGACCATTGTCTGGGAGTGATCAGCTGCAGGACTTCGCTCAGGAGAGCTATAGGAAACTCCAAAACTGGAGCTTATTGTGTAATGGAGCTGTAGTAGAGGTGTTTATATGGCATGCAATGGACGTAACGGAAGAAGTCAGACAGTTCTAAAAAAAGTTTGATTACTTACAATGGGATGGGGGGTACGTAAGAAACACAAAGGGCTTGGGAGGAGAAAAAGACACACAAAGGGGCTGGAGGTAAGTAAGATGCACATAAGGGATCTATAGGTACAGAGACACACAAGTGGGGGTAAGAAACACAAAGGGAAAAAGGCAGATATGATACACCAAAGGGGTACACTAAAAGAGGTAAAGTATTTAAAAGAGGGCATAAAGACACAAAATGGAGTAAGTAATTCAGAAGGTGGGTTAAGAGGCACACCAGTGAAGATTAATTTTGTTTTGGTTGGGGAGGGGCGACAAAATGCATCTTCGAACTTTGTTGTCACAATCCTGTACGTTCATAAACATCTTGCTTGCTTGTGTCTTTGATTTATAGTAACAAAGATGGAAAATGTTTGTTATCATCTGAAAAGTACAATTTCTATATCATTTTGTATGATAATTATATGGTGACATATGTTAAACTTCAAGATAATTGTGAATCATCTGCACATATGGAATGATTACTAGTTCTGCTGAAAGATATTCTAAAATCTTAAAATTAAAGTCATATGATATGTGTATTTCCTGTGCTACAATTTATATAAACGGTCTACTTACTGAAGAGTGATTTGCAATAAATCTATAACTAATTTGCAAAAATTCAACCACAACTTTTGCATTGCATATGCAGTTTAACTGAAGGTTTTTTAAATTAGTACTACATTGCACAAATTGTCGTTTTGCCATAATGCTCTCTTTACACAAAAAACAATAAAACGACCTGCATTCAAATCACATGAGCTTAAATAGGTGCTTTACCAGACCCTGGCAAAGCACCAGCCCAGCAGCTAGATCCCAGTTGTAGAGAAATGGTCTATCACTCCAATGCTCTCAAGGCACTTTATTAGAACAAAGTGAACAAAGTGTTCTAATAAAGTGCCTTGAGAGCATTAGAGTGTCTGGGCCATTTCTCTACAAATGATATATAAATCTCTGTTTAGTGAATATGCTCATTAGTTTGATACTTTTGTATTATGACACAGATACATAGTTTAACTCAGCTTACGGTTCAGATTTTTCCTCAGCTGCAGAGCACAAGATGGTCAGGGAAACACACAGAAGAAGAAGCTGCATTTTGCGTCAGCCACACTGTCTGTGCTCACAAACTCAAAACAGCCTTCCTTTTTATAACATCCAGGACAGAAATGAAACGTGGACCTCCCCTTATAATGACCTTGCTACTGTAGGACACTTGAGGACATCATATATGTGCACAGTGTAGAGTTTTCTTTGGCACTAGAGTAGTATTTCAGCATAATTCTCCTCATGCCAATAACCTAATATTATTATCAATTCTTTCACGTTTGACACATGTTCTAAAAACTATAAACAAACTCACCAGCATTATTAACTGACTGCAACATGTGAAATGACAAAAATACAGTCACATGTTTTGAATTTTTCTAATAGGAACTACAAGCTTTATTGTATTTCTAATGGGCTATTAGATGCTTTAATGTACAATATAGGGGTTGCTTAGGCATGGACTACATTGCTGATTTGTGCACAGCAAAAATTTTCCATTCTTTCAACATATTACAGTTGTGATTTTCCAAATGTTTGTTTTGTTTTATTACTTATACCTGTCTTGCTGTCTTATAGATGTATGAATGCCAAAAAATCTAAACT